TCAGCAGGAGTCAGCAGTGTGCCCTTGAGGCAATGAAGAAAATCTCTGTCCTGGGCTGCATCAGTAAGTCTAGTAAACAGATCAAGAGGTGTGATTATTCCACTCTACTCAGCACTTTTTAAGACTTACCTGGAATACTGTGTATAGCTTAGTCCCCCTAGTTCAAGTGAGGAAATAATAAAAAAAATATGGTCTGGTGTATTGCCACCAAGATCATTTGAGGGTTGGAGAACTTTGACAACTGAAGGAACTGGCTTTGTATAGCCTAGAGAAAAGAAGGCTTAGGCAGATGGTGAGTGTCTACTCACAGATTTCCAGTATCTACTATATAGTTACAGAGAGGATGGAGGTACACTTCATGACAGTACATGGTGTCAGAATAAGAGGAAATAGAAAAAAAGGGAAGTTCCTCTGGATATATGAAAAAAAGTCCTTAATGTGAAAACAGCAAAATGTTGCAATTACTTGTCCAGAGAAGTGGAAGAATCATCTTGGCTGGAAATATGCAAAACTCAGCTGAGTCTAAAGCCCTGCTTTCAGGAAGAGGTTGAACCAGATGATCTCCCATTCAATCCTAGGCTTGTCAATGTTTCTATATTTTTAATATTTCTCCCTTATAATTGCCTTTTTGGCTGCTGACAGATAAAGGGCTTTCAGATCTAATTGTGATCCCTTCTTCAATTTTAAGAATTCTTCTGAAGACGGCAGGCATTGGGGGCTGGACTAGATTACCTTTAAAGGTCCATTCCAACCCAAACCAATCTATGATTCTATTATTTTGCAAAACTGTTATTTAAATAGGGAAACTGGTTTGTTTTGTACAGCTCGTTCAGTTTTGGGTTTCCTTAGTGTTGAGAACACCTTAATGGCTAAGAAAGATCTGACAGAACTGTTTTTGCAGCCTCTCTGTATGGAAAGCATAACTGACTCAAGGTAGAATCTGGATACCTCAGTAATAACTGTAAGTTCCTTCTAACCAAGGTACCTGGGGTTGTTAGAACTGTCTCAAAGAGATAAAAGATTTATATCCTATTGTGTTGAGGAAGGAATCAAAATCTTCTACAGCCCCTGGTGAAATGTTCTGTTTACTGATCTATTGTACTGAAGAACATCACTACTATAAAAATTATTTTCAAGGAAAATAGTTCTACTTTTTAAAGTAGTGAGCAAAAGTGCAGTGTTCAGAGCTGCTGAACAAACCTAGTAGATAACTGCTGTGGAATGTGGTAGTCCTTCTTCCTTCCTGCCTGTTCTCCATCTGCCTACTGTCAGAACCTGTCCTTGAATATACTCTAGTACCCAGCTGATCTGCTGAGCCACCTCAGCTGTCTCAGCTAGTGGGGAAATATTTACATTTTTCCAGAGGGAATTTAGTGAGGTGAATTCCCATAACAATCTGACTATTGTTGAATAGTTGTTGAGTATTTGCCCTCTACAACTACCTGATAGGAGGTTTTAGTGAGGTCAGTGTTGGCCTCTTCTCCCAACTGAATAATGACAGGACTAGAGGAAATTAATTCAAACTGTGCTGGGGGAGGTTTAGACTGGTTGTTAGGAAGAATTTATTCACTGAAATGGTTGTCAGGCACTGGAACAGAATACCCAGGGAAGCGGTGAAGTCACCATCTCTGGAGGTATAAAAAAAACTTGTAGATGTGGCACTTCAGGACTGCTATAGTGGGCATGGTGGGTGATGTGGTATTGTTTGTTGTTGACTTTTTGTTTTGTTGTTTGTTTGTTTTTTTTCCCTTGGGTGGACAGTGATCTTAAAGGTCTTTGCCAAACTCGATGATTCTTTGATTCTGTGAATACCCCTTGTAATTATCTACTTAAGGTACTTATCCTTCTGCAGGCTACGTAGAAGGGAACTGAGGCACTTCACTTGCCTGCACATTCTCTTGTGGGGAGTAGGAATGTAAAAACTGCTTTGGGGCTAAGCCTTTTTACTAAGTTAGGAGAAAGTTAGAAAGGTAAAAAAGTGTTAATTATTATTTAGTGGAAAAATACCTCTGTGACTGGAAAAGCTCTATATGTTTTGTGGATAGAATAAAAGATACAGGTTTCCTTGAAAATTTGTTTAGTAGTTTTGATTGGGGCACCATTTAAAAAAACTGTTTATAGATGCAGCTATGAAATACCAGGATGAAAAAGGCTAAAAATGGCAGCTATCTCTGCTGGATTAGTTATTGCTTGTTTTACTTCAGTTTAATCAGTTGAATTCCTGAATATTTTACCCAGGGAGTTGCATGGATGACTGGGCTGCATCTTTAGTAATGTTTTTTTTCTGTATTTACATTAATTATACTTTGCAATGTTACTTTGAATGCATTAGTTGAACATGTTTATGAATGTGCTAGTGATTGCTTTGTGGATCTAAGGCAGGATGAACTTCCATTAACAAAGCTTTACGTTAGGATTTCTAGCAACACGAGGCTTTTACATGAGGTGTTTTGGCATTCCT